TTGCAGTGATGCTGTGCCCGTGCACAGGCACACAAACCCCTCTGCAGCAGGGCTGTGTGCACCAGCCTGTCCTGCTGTGCCGCCGTGCACACTCACACAAACACCTCCTGCAGCCAGGCTGTGCATGGGCACACACACGTGCTGCAGGGGCACAAACACGGGCCCAGCCACTGAGACTGGCACAGCCACAGAAACTGGCACAGCCACACACATAGTGGCACTGGCACACACACAGTGACACTGGCACACACACGGAGCCACCCTGCAGCGAGGCCGTGCATGTGCATACAGATGTGTGACCATCCAGATGTGTGAGCACACCCCAGCACGGTGTGCAGGCAGGGGGTGTGCCATGCCCGTGCACACACACACAGCCCCTGCAGTGAGGCTGTGACGGGCACGTCAGCGCACACGCACACCCTGCAGAGCTGCACACACACAAACACACAAACACACAAACACACAAACACACAAACACACAAACACACACACACAGCCCTTGCACGCTGCTGTGAGAGCCTGCTTGGGGCTCCCAAATGGATTCTGGGGTTCTCCTCTCCCCCAGCCCCGTGGCTCCCTGCCTCAGTTTCCCCACGGGGACGCCGAGGGCTCCAGGTTTGGTGCTGGGCCGAGGGTGCTTTCCCCAGGCAGAGAGGGGACATGGTGGGGTCTCCTCCCGTGCCTCAGTTTCCCCCCTGGAGCTGGGGGTGCTGCGCCCCTTTTCCCCCGGGCTCCCCAGGGACACCCCAAAGCTCAGCACCGNCTGTTGGTGCTGTGTTTGTTCCTGATAAATTCAGGGTGGGACCTGCCTGGGTCCAGGTGCTGGAGCTCCCAATGGAGAGCCTGGGGAGCTTCCCTCAGCCCTGCTGCTGCTGTGCTGCAGGTGAGGGGCAAGGAGGGGAAATACCCCAAGGTTTCTCCACAGAGAGACTTTGATTCATCTCTCCTTGCTGGTAAACCATGGTGTGAGGGAGGCCCTTGGCTGTCTCAGGAAGGGAGCAGGGTGCTGCAGCTCCAGGGCAAGGGGGGATCCTGTCCAGCAGCATCCCAGGAAGCAGCTCTGGCAGCAGGTTTGTCCAGGAGGGCTGTGCCCACTGCCAGAGCATTCCAGGTTTGGCTGGGCAGGGAGGTGGTGGGTCCAGATTCATGAAGAGCACAGGCAGGAGCCAGCTGCCTGTGGCCAAATCCTGCCTGGATCGCTCCAGCAGGGCAGGGATGTGATGGCAAATTGTCACAGGAGCATCAGCCCTGTGCTGGGACGTGGCTCTGACAGGAGCAGGGACTGGATGTGACAGCAGCCTGGAAACAGCCTTGGCTGCAGCCTGGATCGGTTTAGGTCCAACTAGAGAATGTTTTTATCCTTGCAGGCAGGAGCCCTGGGCTTGGGCTCGGAGGATTCAGGATCAGCCCCGTGTCCTGTCCTCACTTCCACCTGCAGGACAGGTGGATTAATAAGGGCACCCAGGTGGCTCCTCTGTGGGAATGGGTGGGAGTCCCTGGAGCAAGGGAACCCTGCCCCCAAGGAAATGGGAAATGGGGATCTCTTAGGGGCTGTGGGATGCTCCAGAGTGGGAGCTGGGCCTGCTCTCTCCAAGCTTGGATGTGCATCCCTGTGCCCCAGCCTGGCACAGAGGAAGAGTCCTGGGGAATGCTGAGGGCTCCACTGGCTGGGGGGACAGTGGCTGCTCTGCTGGTGGCAGCCAGGACACGCTCCTGGACACCTTCCATGGCCACCAGCACCAGCAGATCAAGGAACTCCCTCTCCAGTCCCTTCCATGGATTTTTTTCCCCAGTCAACATCCAAATCCTTCCCTGTTCCTCGTGTTGATTGGAGCTGTGCTTTGATCAGCCCCCAGGCCTGTCCCTGCTCTGTGTGCTCCAGTCCTGGTGGGTTTTCCAGCTGATCCAGGAGGGGTTGTTTTACCCAACACTTCCAAACTTCAGGGCTCCCCAGATCCAGCTTAAATTAGATAGAGTTCTCTGAGGGCAAGCTCTGGAACCCAACTGTAAATGAAAATTCCAGCGTAAAACACAACAGCCACAGCTTTTCCTTGCTCCCAAGGTGGTGAGCTGCTCTGGAAGCTGAAATTCCCAATAAAGGCTGAAAGGCAAGAGCAGGAGCATTCCCTGCAGAGCTCCAGCCTGTCCAGGGGGAGGTGAGAGGGGCTGCCAGGGGGGATTCATTAAAGTTGGGCTTTTCCCACAAAACTGCAGGATGTGTGGCTGACAGGCTGAGCCCGGCATCACCCGCAGGATATCGTGGATTCATGAGCTCCTAACTCCCAGAGGGGAGGAGGCTGGGAACTGCAGGGGGTGTGTGACAGCAGTGGCAGGAGGTGACAATGCCATGGATCACCGGGTGGGACACAGCCTCTATGGGCACATCCATGGAAAAGGCTGCGGGAGGAGGACCCCAAAGCAGGACAGGGCTGTGGCTCCTTCCCACAGGGATGGCTGGAACCCAATCCCAAGGGATGCTGCAGGGATGGACTCACTGTCCCCAGGGTGGGGGTGAGGAGCTGCTGCCCAATAGTGAAGGCCGAGCCAAAGTGCCTTTGCTGGAGCAAGAGCTGGAGTAATTTATCGGGAAGCTTTTAGGGAAATGAGCGGCTGCTGGGCCCCTGCCAAGCGCGGCCCCGCTGGGCTCTGCCCGTGTCCTCTGGCAGCTCTTGCTGGGAGAGAGCAACTGGAGTGGGAATGGGGACAGCATGTGGGCTGGGGTGAGGACAGGACAGAAGGATTGGGATGGGAGTAGAGATGGGGTCAGGGATGGGGACTGGGGGAGGGGAGAGGGGCAGGGATGGGAATAAGCGAGGGAATGGGGATGGGACAGATGGGACAGGGATGGGAAGCAGCAGGGAGGAGGATGGGATGGGGATGGGGATAGAGATGGGATGAGGATGGGACAGCAGTGGGAATGGGGAGAGGGGAAAGGGACAGAGAGGGAATGTAAAGAAGGATGGGAGTGTGACTGAGGATGGTGTTGGGGATGGAGACAGAGATTGGGACAAGGACAGGGATGGGAATGGCACCAAGACAGGGTTGGAGCTGAGCCCATCCCACACTTCTTGCAGCACAAGAGAGAGAAACAACCATTACCAACTTCTTCCCTTCCTATCCCAAACACTTCCCAGAGCTATGGAATCACTGCCCTGCAACCCCCGCTGGGGTTGCCGCCCCTTTTGCTCCGTTGTCCCCATGTCCTCGGAACCCATGCAGGGTCTTGCTCCCTCCCACCTCCCCTCGCCTGCGGCAGCCCCCACCTCCCGGCACATTCCCTTTGTTTTTTGCCTTTCCTGGCGGTCCCTTAATTGAATTATCCCGGAGCATCTCTGTTGCAGCAGCCGCAGTGATCCGTGGTCGCCTCTGCGGCAGAGCAGGGACGAGGCTGGGACCCCGCTCCGGGATCCTGGGATCCCGCTGCTCCGGGATCCTGCCTGCTCCGAGATCCCCCTGCTCCGGGATCCCCCTGCTCCTGGATCCCCCTGCTCCGGGATCCTGCCCACTCCGGGATCGGGAGCTGCCATTCCAAACCTGCCCCAAGAAATCCGTTCCACCAATTCCCATTAAAATTAATTGAGCAGCTTTGAAACGCTGAGCTTGGGGGATGGCGTTATTCCTTTTATCTAATTTTTTCTTTTACACTATTGTATTTTCTGGCAAATTAAATTGTCCTCTTTTTTTTTCCTTCTTCTTCTTTTATGTTTATTCACAGTGTCTATAATAGACCTGGTTAAAAATAAATATATATATATATATATATATATATGCACACATGTCTCTGAGGCCACGTGGCTCCTTTGGAAATGCCAGTCCATAAAAAATCCAAACTTTCTGCGGGAGATGGATGAAATTTCATTACTGATGCGGAGCCTCCCGCACTTTGCGAGGCAGCCGGAGTGATTTCATTGCCGTGGAGCACTTCCCATTTCCATTTCTCATTTGGACGTTCGCTTCAATTTGTTTGATAAATTAGAGAAGATCAAAAAGAGGCCCCACCCAAACCCCAAATCAATAAAACGCCACCAGTTCCTCCTGGCATCCCAAAAATGGGGTGTCCCCCCCGTGGTGCTGCAGGGTGCCAATTGCCGTGCTGGTGCAGGGAAATGAGTTTTCCCCATGGGAGCACCGGGGAGGTGAAGGTGGGGATGTCCCAGCCCCAGAGTCCTGGGATGGGCTCCTCCAGCCCCGTTCCCAGTGGGAAGTGCCCCATTGTAGGGGAGCAGCAGCTTTGCCCGATTCTCTCCCAGCCCCAAACACTTCCCCTGTTTTTATTTATCCCTTTCATCTCTTTGCCATTAAAAATGCATCGCTGGGGGCTCAGGGAGGGCGATCCTTTAGGTGGGAATGGGCTCCCACAGTGCACACAGACCTGAGGCTGTGAGATTCCCAATGTCCCTCAGCAGAGGTGTAAATCAGGAGTAACAGGGTTCCCTGCCACCAGCCATGGGGCAGGATCCCCAGCTTGGCCCAGGAGTTGTGACCCTCTCTGAGTGCCCCAGACACATCCTGGTTCCTGCTGGAATTACTGTTCATCCAGGTGAAAGCACTTCTGGGAAGGGGCTTGGGCTGAGCATCCTCCCCGTCGAGCCAAAGGAGAGTGAAACATTCATCAAACCAAACCTAAAATATCAGGGCATGAGACATGGAGAGGGGGATAAAAGCTCTGGGATCCATGGGAAGAGGCAGGAGCTGTGGCAGGATCCCCAGCTGGAGTGGGCTGGGGGATGTGGGAGCTGCTGGGAAGGAGCCAGGTCCCACTGCCCCAAGGTTTAGGGATGCTCCAGCCCCCAGAGTCTGGGGGTCACAGCCCCCCAAACCAGTGCCCACCTCCCGTGCCAGGAGGGCTCAGCAGCACCCACGGGTGCTCCCAGGGCCCCACCCCATCACCCTCCACCCCAGCATCTCCAGGAGCCCCCAGAGCCCAGAGCGCTTCAGAAATCCCAGTTTTATTTCAGATCGGAAACAACCAACCAGGAAGAACAAAAAAAAAAACCCAACCAAAAACAGAAACAAAAAAACAAAAACAAAACCACCACCCCAAAAACCCCAAAAACTCTAAAGAATGAGAAACGGCCCCAAATCCGAACCAGTCCGTGCCCAGGTGGGTGCTACATACAGGCTGGGGGTTCCGGGGCGTGCGGGGCTCCCCGGCCTCGGGGTCGCTCCGGCTCTTCCCAAGGAGGGGTCGGCTCAAAGTGCATCAAGCAGGAGGTCAGGAATGTCCCCGCACCGAGGCGCGGGGACAGGGAGGGGCTCTGGGGGGGTGGAATCCAGCCCTTGGCAGCCAAGTCCATGCAAACGCTCCCGGCTCTAGGAACCATCTCAGGCGCGTGTATTGCTTAGGGGATGATTTGGTTTATCCTAAATACGAGCTCTAACGCTAGAGCGGAGAATCCGACGGGATCCGCCGCGGGAGGGGGCTCACGGGGCTCCATGCACGTCACATGCACTCACGGGTCGGATTGTGTCTGGCGAGGGGGGGTCGGTGTGTCGGTGCCAAAGTCTCCGTGCTGTGCCCCGGCACGGCGGGGCCCCGGCGCGGCTCTGTCCCCTCGGCCGCCCCCCGCCCGGGGGGGGTCACGTCTCTGGGCCACAGATGGATGGACATAGAGATATTTATAGATATTTATAGGTGTCTCCTCCTCGCTGTCGCTGTCGCTGTCGCTGTGGCGGGGCTGCCCCGTTACTTCATCCCGCTGCGCAGCACCTGGTTGGCGGCGATGAGCATCACGCTGATGATGAAGGCGATGGCGAAGGCGCAGATGAGGCTCTTCCGCACGCAGGTCTGGCGGATCTGCTGGCTGGAGCAGGCTGGGGGTGGGACAAACAGCGCGTTACCCCATCCCAAATACACTCTCCTGTACTCAGGGTAGCCCCGTGGTTTGGCATCCCCGTGGGGGGTTGGCATTGCACTCACTCTCCACATCGACGGGGCACTCCTCGGCCGTGCCCATGTGGCTCTCCTCCTCCGTCATGATGATGTTCTCGATGTCCTTCATGGACAGGTGCTCGCAGAAGGTGTCGTACAGCAGCCGCTTCAGCTCGTCCACCGTCAGCTTCTGCATGTCACACTGTGGGGACAGGGGTTGGGGTGACCCCAGGGCTGGCAGCACAGGGGGCTCCCAGAACCTCTGGGTGCGGTGGTTTGGGTCACCCTGGACTTGTCTGGGAAAGGCCTGGTGTCCTGGTGACGCCCAGCAGAGCCAGGGGCACACAGAGGGTGCTGGCTCCAAATGTGGCCTGTTTGTGACAGGAGCTCAGGGGGTGCACCCTGACGCTGATCCTGAACCTCATCCTCATCCTGACCCCTATTCCTGTCCTTGACCTCAATCCTGACGCTGAACCTGTTCCTGACCCCAGTCCTGACCCTCATCCCACCATTAAACCTGACCCCAACCCTTATCTGAGCCCTGACTCCAACCTAACCCTGATCCTGAACCTGGCCCTAACCCCGACCCTTAAACCATTGCTGACCTTGACCCTGACCCCAAGGATTATACTAACCCTTAAACTGGAGCCTGAGCTTGACCCTAACCCTAATCTTAAACCTAATCCTGACTCTTAAACCAACCCTAACCTCATCCTTGGCCCAGAGCCTGACTTTCACTTTCAGCCCATCCCCAATTCCAGCCTTGACCCTCATCCTATCCCTGATCCCAGCCCCAACCTTGGCCCTGACCCTGAGCCTTCCCTGGTGCAGGTTCTGGGGTTGGTGCCCCAGGAGGGGACAGGGGTGTCCCTGCCTTCCAGTGGGGACAGGGGTGTCCCCACCATCCCATGGAGGTGTCCCTACCTTCCAGAAGACGGTGTCGAAGTCGGTGCCGTGGAACTTCTCTGGGATGCCCGAGGTGGAGAGCTTGGGCCCCAGCAATGTCACAAACTCCTCAAAGTCCACCTGCCCGTCACCTGTGGGACACAGGGCTGGCTGTCACCCCCTGCCTGGCCATGGGGCACATGGGACATTCCCCCTCCCAGAACGGGGCCCCGTGGGTGGTCACAGATCCCCAAAACCCGTTGGGGACCTCAAAATCAGCTGGGAACCTCGAGCAAATTTAGGGAACTTCCAACTTTGGTCAGGATGCCCAGCATTGAATGGGGTCCCCAGTGCCAGCCAGGACCCCAGGGCCCACTGGGGACACCCTAATACCACCTAGTCCCCCCAAAAATGTGATCTGGGACCCCAGTGCTGGCTGGGGAAACCAAACATCATCCAGGACATGAACATGAGCTGGACCCCAGTTCCAGCAGGGACCTCAATGCCATCTGGAGACCTCCCAGGTCTAACTGGGGACCACAAATGTTGGCTGGGGACCCCCAAAACAAACCAGGGACTCCAACACTGGGTGGGGATGTCCAGCAAAGTTTGGTGTCCCCACCACCAGCTGGGATGGCAACACTGGCTGGGCGCCCCAATGGGACTGTCACTGCCAGGTAGGGACCCCCAAGCAACATCTGAGGACCCCCAATGCCATTTGGGCCCCCTTGCAATGGGACCTGGGGACACTCAGTGTCACCTGGAGCCCCCAGTACTGGCTGGGGAAGCCAAACACTGTCCAGGACTCTGAACCACAATTGGACCCCAATTCCAGCAGGGACCTGGTGGTGGCTGTGCCCTGGGGGTGCCTGGTGGCCGTTCTGGCCGTGTCCCCTGGCAGGGGGGGACGCTGGCCTGGGGCTGTCAGGGCAGCACTAACGATGAGTAATGAGGGGAGCGGCGCCTTGGCAGCGCTGCCGGAAAGGCTTTTAAATGGGGGAGAAAAGGAAAAGCAATAAATTAAGGAGCTCCTTCAGGTCCCTGTGGGCGAGGGAGGGGTGGGGACAGGGTCATGGTGGCAGCGGGTGCTGGAGGGTGATGGGTGCTGAGGACACGAGCCAGGGTGCAGGACCCACCCCTGGGTGTGGGATCCAGCTGGTTTGGTGATCCCACAAAGATCCAGGATCCTTAAATCATCCCAAACAGAGCTGCAGTGGCGATGATGACGATGATGATGATGATGATGATGATGATGATGGATGAGGGGGAGGCTCCAGCGGGAGGCAGAGCCTGGGTCAGTCCCATCCCACATCCCGTGTCGTATCCAGCACGTGGGGTGGAAATACGGGAGAATTTTGTGTTTCACCCATCTGGGGGTCCCCACCCCGGGTTTGGGGGTCCTACCGTCCATGTCGAGGCGCTGGATGATGACCTCCAGCTCCACCTCGTTGGGCATGTACCCCAGGGAGCGCATGGCCGTGCCCAGCTCCTGCTTGGAGATGAAGCCGTTGCCATCGCGGTCGAACACCTTGAAGGCTTCGCGGATCTCTGTGGGGGGAGCAGCGATGGGTCGGGCTGAGCTTCCCCCTCCAGCCCCACAGAACCCCTGTGGGGATCCCACCCACCCCCGGGCAGCGTGGAGCCCCCAGCAGGGTCCCACCTGCCCCACAGACCCCAAATTTTCCCCCCAATTCCAGTCACCCCGAGCACCCACCCTGCCCTAAAACCGCAGCATTCTGCCCTAAACCCGCAGAGCTCTGACCTAAAACCACAGAGTTCTACCCTAAAACCACGAAGTTCTGCCCTAAAACCGCAGAATTCGACCCCAAACCCGCATCCCTGGGTGTGCCTGAGCCTGGGGTGCCACCAGGTGGGCACTGCCACAGGGGCAGCAGCATCCAGC